ATTGTTATTGTTATTATTATTATTATTATTATTATTATAACAATAATGGAAAATAATAACAAAGAAAATGCAACATTTCCATATTGATAATTTATTAATATTAATAAAAAAATTGATTGGAATTTTTTTTTGCTAGAATAGAAGTCATATATCATTATATATGATATGAATTTACGTTATCAATTTAGCACTAATTATATTAGTTTTTTGGGCTTAAGGAAATCATTACTGAGATCATGGTCCAATTAATGGGATAGAAAACTTACCACTGTAAATGAAATACTAATTCCCAAGAAAAGTTCATTTCATATATTGTTATTATATCATTCCATATTTAAGTTTTAAAAAGAAGACAATAAACTTGAACATATGAAAGGATTAAGTTTAATCAAGCTTTATACATTCTATATTTAAAATCAAAAGTTGTTATTAAAGTTGGAATTAATCGATACAAAAAAAAATGATAAGCTATGTAAAGATTGCAGGAAAAATTATGAATGGATATGACCAACTTGTAATTAATTAGTTAATTAATTGTTACCTCTAATACATAAATGTAATAGAAATTTTTTCCTCTCTTTTGCATTTTGCTTCAAAAAGTTTTGTAAAAAGATTTGCATCAATATTTTACGTAATTTCTTGTTAATCTCTGATATCATTCATCTCTTCAATATTATTGTAAGTGTTGAATGGGTATTGTATTTTTGAGGATTTGTACAGTGAAAAAAACCAATGATAAATAAGACAATTTTTGAATGATTCATAAAAGAAACAAATTGAGCAGGCGAAACAGAAAGAAAATGCAATGAAAAGGAACCCATAAGTGATAAAATACGAATTTTTCATCCGTTATTTTTTAAATTGAAAAAGATTCTTCTGCGACTACGAATTGGAATACAATTTGTGCATAAATTAGCGATATTTAGTCGATTGGTTCAGACTTCGTATCGATTGTAATGTTTATATTATCAATCAGACTGAATAAATTCAAAAAGGCCTCCAAAAAATTCATCTAAATATTGGACAGCTCATCGGCTTTATTAAACTTCATAATTTATGGTTTGATTTTTCTGCAGTCTTATTATTAATTGGAACAGTTCAAAAGTTCATCCATCGATTCGTCCAAGCAATTCGATGGATGGATAGCTCTGTTTTACAAACTACCCTCATTTTCATCATTTTTCTTTTAGTTGAAATGAACGATTTCTGCCACAAAGGATGAAATGAAAATTATTGACTTAACGTCTTGAAATCTAAGAATTGATCAGTTGGTTACCTTGACAAATGCATATTTGGACAAGAAATGATTTTCTGATTCCTGAAAATTTTTGGATCATGAAATTATAGAGAAATAAACGAAAAATTGCAGCCAATTTTTAACTGAAAACATAAGTGACAGGAAAATAATGAAGGATTAGTGGCAGTTTGGCCAGAGATCGACATTAGTTCCAGTTGAATTCTTGGTTTGTTTAATCCGAATTTGACAATAAAGTTTGCCTTTGGCAGCTAATTTTCATTAAGAAAAGTTTATTATTTATTTAGGTTTTTTTTTTTGTAGTGTTAAAAGAACAAACAAATCTGTAGATGGAAATTTTTGTATTCTCAGTTTGAGGAAATGGTAAAAATCGTTAATTTAAATTTTGATCGACGGATAATGTCCTCATTTTCCTTTTATAACTATGAAAGCTTCGGCGTAATTTTCCTTCATGATTTTTGTGATAATATTTGATAATACATGATTAGATATGGAATAAATCATATTTATTTATCATTTTAGATTTTCTGACTTTTAGTGAGTGCTTTTTGCATTCTGCAGCAATTAGCATAATCAAAGCAATTAAGTCAATCTTTGAAAACAATTTTTAAAAAATTCAAAAATTTTTCTAGTTATATTTGGGTAATGACTAATACAAATTTTATTACTAGAAATATGTGAGGTGATCGATAATTTGAAGATGCCAATAAAAATTATAAAAGCAGCATCCATTTTTTCTAAATGATAATGAAAGAAATTGGAATTATTGCAATTTTAATTCAACATGCTTTCTTTAGATATTATTCGTTTTTTATCAAGAAATACAATGATTTCTACTGGTATTCATATTAGATTAATTACTTTAAATCCAATTTTTACTTTTTAAAACAATGGTCAGAAATGATACGTTTGATGAGAGTTATATGTTGAATTTTTTCTAGTTGCATAGTTTGAAGTTATAATGGTTTAAAAAGTGAACTGACTTTTAGTTTTTCTTGTCATTCTGAATCTTTTTTTAACATCAAGTTTTTAATGGAATTTGGGAGTGAAATATCCTGAGAGAAGTTCAAAATTTTGATCGAATTCTTCTGGAAAAGAAATGTTAATATTAAATTTGAAAACTTTTTCTCTTTCATGTGTAATATTCTAATGTACAAAGGAAGAAAAACAGTAAGAAAGTCTGCCTGTGATAAGAACTGTCATTCATTTTCATTCTAATCTTTTCTTAGGATTGTGCTGAGGGAGAAAAGGATGAAAAGTAAGAACTGGTTACCAATTCATTCATTCAAATTTCAATAGATAATGGCTATTGATTTGATTCGGATTATTGGAATGAGGAATGAGGACGATATCGGTGATTATTTTAGTCCTTTCTCTCTTTGCTTCTTTTTTCCATAATTTCGAAAATTGGTTTTCTTATTTGCATGATCAAGAAATAGGTAATCGGTGAAAGAATCATGGTAAATTAAAGAATCAATTTCGCTTTCCTTGACAATTCACGTAATATCAATAAAAGACATTTTTATGTCTTACAAATCAAGCTTTTCCATCTCATTCATTCTCGGCTTCGTAATATATATTTTATAGTTAAGATCAATTCATCTTTATTAGTATTAAATATTTGAATTGCGGAAATTCCATCTGATACATTGCCCAACAGCATAAATTATTCTTAATAATTGCTTCTCCATACTACGAAATCTTAATTTAACCGCTGCAACTATCTCTTCTATCTTTCAACCATGCAGTTATGGTCATTTCACATTTTTTATTTACTACTCCTTTCTGTTCTGAAAATCGGTGAGTTTTTTTTTTTTAATTTTATAAATTGATTTAGTTTAATGATAAAATGTTTCAAAATTGAAATTTGTTTACATTAAATAATTATATTTCGATTCACACTCATCATTTTATGATTTAAGAAAAGAATACTATAAAAATTATCATAAGATTTTTAAGATTGCGATGCGAAAGAAATATGCTTCCGGAAATTCCACACTATCCAGAACGGTTCATTTTTTCAAAGAATTGAAGTACCATCATTATTGCGATGTGTAGAACAGTGCATTGACAACATTGAACATTGTAAAGCGGCGTTGTTTATACCTGAAGAAAATAAGGTATGCCGAATATAAACAGCAGGAATTTTCAAAATAGTTCAAAGAAATCTTTTACATCATCAATCAATATTGCTATTTTTCAACAGTGAGTTAAAGATGGTAGAATTTCAGCAAATCGTATTATCCTTAGCATTCAAAAAATCATTTCTCTAGAAAAATTAGGTTAAACAATGAGACCATCAAATTCCTTTAATTTTAGAATAAAAGTTTCTGCCAGCTGTATGATACAAATTCAAATTCAAGTGACAATGGTATCACATTGGATAATTCTTTAAATTCGACAAGTACTGTGTTCGAAATTCTTGATAAGTGCCCGGCAACAAATGCTTCTACAAATTCAGGAAATAATTTGATGGAGATGATAAAATTAGAACTAAGGCAGAAACTTGAATCATGGTCCGATCCAGAACTATCACCTTTACTGCCACAAGATGCGCAGCGTTTTAGAAATGACGAATCGACAAGGAAGAGTAAAATATCAAATGATAGAAAAAAGTTAAGCAGAGAAGCTCATTTTTTAAGTCAAAATGATCGCTATGGATGGTCCAACAATGTAGCAGAGCGGTCGAGAAACGCAAACTACGGTGATTGCTTATATTTAATTTTCAATTATCTGTAATTGCTCATGGAAAATTAAATCTGTTTAGAAGATATCAAGTGAATTAATTCAATAAAGTATCTTTATCATTGAGAATTTTAAAGTTTCGCTTTAATTTTTAATATTATTTTTATTTAGTGTTATTACTGAAAAGCTGCTAATAAGCACACAATTGAATGTGGCTCGATTTAATGTAATTTTATTTTTTATCAATATTTTTTGTTTAATCATTTATAAAGGCACGACTGATTTCTCCCAAATATTTTTCCTTTTTTATTTTTGTTTGCGTTATTATTGCAGCCAAACATTTAAATGTGTTTTAGCAAGATGTTTGCATAAAATTTCGTTTAAAAAACTAGTTTTCTTTTTTTCAGAACCGGTTAGACCAGTAATTGATGGGTTAGTGCCATTGGATCAAAATGGTTTTAATCCTTCGTCTTCACTTAACAAACTTTTACCACATGCAAATCATTACCCATCAACTTTATCGCAAATTTCCAATACCAACAATAATTATTTACCAAGACAGGTTTACTACAAATTATTATAGTATTAGTGGAATTCAGGGCAGCAAGACGTATAACTTAGAAGAGTGATGATAAATGTTAGAAATTTTTTAATAAAAACTAAAAAGGAAAAAATCAAATATATTTAATTACAGGTATAAAACTGATTGTCTAAAATTCTAATATAATTTCAGCACAAATACATTTCCATCCATATTTATTCCATTGAAAAAAAGCTTGTAACAATCACTGCAATATTAATGATAGAAGAGTGGGAGTAGCATATTTCACTCAGATTTTTCAAGAGTATCAAGCCTAGACATCCCAATTAACTCGGTTTAAAGTTATAGGGTTATTCATTTACAAACAATGAAATACCGCTTCTATCACCTATTAAACCGGTTGTTGTAAATCATGGTCGACAAGGAATAATTTATAGTAGTTGTCAAGGTTTTTATTTTCAATTCTTTGGTATTAACCAAATCTGCTAATTGTCCGATACTCTGATCTTAGATTTTAATTATCATCAAATACCAATCACTGAATTTCAGGAAGAAACTGTTACGCATCATCATTGGCTTACCTTCAAAAATCAAGCTATAACTGGCCATGTCCAATTTATCCATCTCCTTGTCAACCAAAAATACCTAATTCTTGCGTTACTGTGAGCTAATTTCTGATTATAATCTGAAAAAAAAATTTACTGAAAGCTGGGCAGCGAGTAACTTTTCCTCTTTAATATTCAATTTTATAAGGCAGTTAAAAAAGAACCCGCTTAAATTGTTGTCTAAATGATTATTAGACATCTTTTCTCTTGGAATATTCCATTAAAATTTAACATGTTTAAAAATTTCATCAATTCTAGAGATGTCCACAAGTAGACACAACTTCTCCCAAAACAGCATTGTTCAATGAAGAATGGTCCGAAAGCCATATCAACAAACAACAGCAATTCAATAAACCTGAACCGGAAAGTGTGTCAAGTAGTCCGTCAATACCAATTCAATCTACAGAGAATATGATAATTTCCTGGTCAGAATGGTCACCACAAACTGCGTGTTCAGTTACCTGTGGGATAGGTATAACAATGCGGAAACGATTTTGCTCAGTTGATGGGCAATGTAAAGGTTAGTGTTTCTAATTCAAATTAAGAGTTGATTATTATAATAACAAAAAATCAATGATAAGCACATCTTTTATCTTTCAGTTTTAACACAAATCATTAAAAAATGTTATTAAATTAGTAATGCAATTTGCAATTTCCTCACATTTTTGCTTATTAACTTTAATTTTTTTCTCGATTTTATTAGGTGAATCGGTGAAGGAAGAATTGTGCAACAGTGGTCCGTGTCCAGAATGGAAGCCTTGGTCAGAATGGACTGAATGTTCGCGGAGTTGTGGCGGTGGTGAGCGATCTCGCTCGCGCATTTGTTCCGTTAGCAAGCAGTGTGATGGGCCTTCAGTGGTAAAAGTTTAATATCAAAGAATTTTGAAAATTTATTTACAATTTACTGCAGTATACTCTTTCCTCTTCTTCCAACTTTTGTTTGAGCAACTTATCAACGAAAGTTCTTCAAGAAATTTAGAGCATTGAAGCATGCAATGTTGAGAATTGTGGACAGTGGTCTGCATGGGGTAGTTGGGAAGAGTGCTCTGTGACCTGTGGAATTGGACAACAAATAAGACGAAGGTAAATCTTAAAAGCATTCAATGCCCAACCTTATCAATTTTGGTACTAGAACACTTTTTATATAAAATGTAAATTCATATTATAATAAACTTTGAATTTTAGGCAATGTGTGGGCGGTGATTCGTGCATTGGTGATAGCATTGAGAAAAAGATATGCAAAGAAGCACTTTGTCCTTCTTGGTCCACTTGGGAACCGTGGAGCACGTGCAGTGTCAGTTGCGGTAATGGACAAAGGGTATTATGTTTGAAATTTCTGGACAGATTCTCAAACGTATTAAATGAGTGAATTTCTCTGTTTAACGATATTTATGTATGATTCACAATGTTAAAAAAATTAATGAAACTTTGCCTTTCAGTTGTTACTTTTTATCACCTCTCTAAAATCATTTTTCTTTACCTTAACTGTTAGTGACACTCTACGAACGTTATTTAAGTTCTCGACTTCCTTCACTTCTTGCCCTTAGAATTCTCGAATGTCAACACGAAATTTCCAAACTTTCCTTACATCATTTTGATTTAATTGCAGCATCGAACAAGGATTTGTTATGGTAGTAACAATTGTATCGGAGATGCCGAAGAACATGAAGTATGCGAGATGAATTCATGTCCACAATGGACCGACTGGTCATCGTGGACACAGTGCACTGAAACCTGCGGTACAAAAGGAAGTAAACTACGTGTAAGGTAATTGAAAACAACATTGGTTATTTTTAAGATGCATACATGTTATGAAATAAAATGGACTTTGTTCAGTGGTGCATCATTATAAAAATTGTAAGTGTGCTAAGTATGTTTCTTTTTTAAATCTTTTTGCAAGCATAAATTTTATTTTTTGCAAATATAAATTTCAAAATTTTTTGAAAAAAAACAAAGGAAATTCTTCATAATAAATTCGTTAGCATTATTGGAAATTGTAGGACATGCATGAGAAATAATTTGATAAGTTCTCTTTGTGATGGTGCAGCACAAGATCAAATGGCATGCAGAGATCTCCCCGAATGTCCTAGCTGGATTTCATGGAGTTCCTGGTCAATATGTAGTGTCACTTGTGGACATGGTCAAGAAAATAGGTTATTTGCGAACAGTTTGCTGTAACTTAGCTGAGCTACTCGCAAGCTAGATTACTGATTATAAGATTTAATAATTTCATTCTAATGCCTCTAATTTGTTAATTCTTTTTTTGTTACGCAACGTCAGCTTAAATATTTTGTTAATTCTTATACACTTTGTTAAAGCTTATTAAAATCTCTTTGCTTTTGTAATAAACAGACAACGATCTTGCCTTCCGACAAACATGAAATGCGCCGGTGCCGATCGAGAGTTTCGATTTTGTCAGGAATCGGTATGTCCATATTGGGACGAATGGTCCTCATGGAGTACCTGCTCTGTTACCTGTGGTTTTGGTACTCGCGAACGAAGAAGACAGTACGTGATGTATACTGCCCGCTTAGATCAGATTTTGTAACACTTATCACTCACGAAGTTGAAATGCAACTATTAATTAGTTGATACCAATTAGTGACAATTGATATATAGTAGACAGACAATTTGAGGTTTATTGATGTTTGTCATTACAAATCAATTATAAATTTCAATGATCATATTTTGGGAGAATTTTAACTACTAAAACAAAGCCGTAGGTTAGCACATACGAGTAATCATTTGTTTAATAATTTTTCAACACTTCCTTAACAATTCTATCTTTTTTTCGTGCCTAATTTGCCGTCTCTTTTTTACTTAAAATGAATGAAAAACAGAGATTTTTTTATTTTCAGATGCATGGAAGATGATGTAATTAAAACTGTCATTAAAGAAGGCTTCTCTCTGGGAGGTAGTCAACATTCACTCTTTGCTTATATCTTACTGTAAATGTTTTAACAATCCCTCATGAAAGAAAAACAGGTAAGGAAGTGAGACGAGAATTCGGTATTGCTTGGCAAACGGATTCTCATATCCAAAAAAAAAAGATCAATTTCATTACTTTCAGATGTAACAAATACTTCGCAACTCAGTAATAATACATTAACGTCAACTGTGCCATCTGTAAGTTGCGCATCAAATTTTAAGAACTCGTTGAACTCTCTTTCTACTGAAGAGTTCAGGTAGAGCTGATAAATCAAATATATGAAAGAGTTGTACAATTTCAGATTGACGAAAATAATTCAGTGGTTAAGTTTCTTCGAGATAACAGCAGTTGTATTGGGAATTCTGTGGACAGGGAACAGTGTAATGCAGGTTAATCACATATCAAAAATCTACAGACTGTTGCTGTAGCTAATAGCTTAAGTTATTTTTGCTAACATTTGGTGTAAGATAACAACGATTAGAAAAAAATGCTGAGATAAGCCGAAACTTGCGTGAGAAAAGTTTCAAGCTTATAGTAATATGATTCATATTGGCCACTCGAATATAGACATGACAGCCATAAGACCAATCAATATATGGCCGTCTGAAGAAGCAAAAATTGATAGCATCGCTAATACTACATATCTGTTTCGTTTACTCAAAAAGTTTGTAGCACTTTTCTTCCAATCTATCCATTACATGCAAATAGTTCATTTCATTTTCTTACAACAAACGTTTCAGTTGTCGATTGTTGTTATCGTTACATCTTTTAAAATAAAGTAAGCGGTATTTGCTAAATGATTACGACATATTAACATTCTGATGAAATGATTTTAGGCCTTTGTTGTCAACTTACCGAATGGACAACGTGGACTACCTGCAGTGTTACTTGTGGAGGCGGCGGCATTCGTGAAAGGTTTTGCATTTGTTGCATATAATGTAAAGAAATAATATGCATTCATTTTTTTTTGATATTCTAATTTAATTACTTTTCTCTCTCTATAAAGCATAACAATTCATACAAAAGACATTTAACTTAACTTTGTTCCGGAAGTCTTACAAGCAGAAGGTGAGATAAGGTTATATATTAATTTAAAATTGATGACGACAATCATTAAAGATTTTTCTTTGCATTTGTTGCATGTATAACCTTCAGGTCCTTTGCATGCTGACTTTTGACAGTTTAATAAATCCGCAGATCGTAGACATCTGACGAATCATTCAAGTGTTGCTAATTTCTTCGTATTAATCTCAGATTTTTGTTTACAGTGTGATCTATTTATGTTCAGTTATTTACCAAACATTTCTGCAATTTTTCTTGATTTACAAATATTTAATGTGAAAAAAGTCAACAAAAGTACAATTTTTTGTTTCAGACACCGAACCTGCTCTTCTCAGATTGATAGATCGCGAATTTATGAACTTAATAGGTCACCAAATTATTCAAAAGTTATACGAAAACACGTACCGGTAGAACCAATTATGCGGCATAGATTAGGTCCTGCTACCGTCGGACATTATGGGAGACAAGGTATGCTAAAATCGTATTTGGTGATTTAGAAATTGCAATATTGAAATATTAAAATTAAACTGAAATTTTTCCAGACAACAAAGAATCTTACTGCAATTTCATAAAATTGTCATTAATCTTTGCTTACGTGAACATATATATTTAAATCCATAAAAATAATATAAAATAATTAAATGAATGCGCATTAAAATTTTAAAGGCTTACAACGGATTATACCGGTAAAATTCGAAAATTTAATGCGAATACGTCGGCAAGCGACAAATGTTCATAATTTTGGGTTATTTGAACAAGGTGATCTGATAAATGTATATTCTATGAAATTTTGCAAAAATTGACTTTTTTTATGAATCTCTAATTTTTTTAAATTCCTTTTTGGTGAAGAAAATTTATTCGATAGTCAGAACATTTTAGGATTTTAAATTTGGACGAATTTTAGATGATTTTGTACGAAAAGATGAATCTCTTTGTCGTTGTGATGGAGAACTGCGGGAGGTGGATAGCTGTGCCGAAAACCCGTGTTCCGAGATAAGCAATGCTCCGATATGTGGTTGGTCTCATTGGACCGAATGGTGTGGTTGTACCGGATCATGTAATCAGGTAATTAGTTTTTAAAGTTAGATAAGTGTACTGAAAGACATTTAAGAATTTAATAAGAATTCAGATTTCATGATATTTTTTCTAATATCAATTCGGATGGAAATATTTGAATTTGTAATTGGAATACTTCAAAATTTTTCGATTCAGGGCAGTCAGATACGTACTCGGTACTGCACGGATAATATCCCAGCAAGTGAACATACATCAAATAGCAACACTGAAAGAACCCATTGCATTCTTCCGGTATTTTCTATCTTTCAAAACTTTTTAATATCGCATAAATTTATGGTATAGAAATTATAGAATATATCTTCTTAAGGAATGCTCCATGGGGCAAGAATCACGGCAATTATCTACGATAAAACAGAATACAGAATCTCGTCCGTATTCAACTCAGACAAATTCCTATATCCTTCCTCAGTATAACTGTCACCAAATAATACCAATCGTCAAACGTGGCACCAACATGGACTGTTTGTGGTCCTCATGGAATTTCGACAATTCTTGTAGGACAGACATTAAAATGAGGACACGATCTTGCTTTGGATTTTGTCAGTTTCTATATTTTTCATTATTATCAGTTGATAATATTGTCATTGATAAATATCATCTAACAATACATTTTTTGATGTGAAATGATGGACAACTACGCATTTCATGCTTTTTTCTTTAGCAACAAAAGCTAAATGTGACTGTGATGGTAAGCTTGTGGAACAGATTGAATGCTTCTGTTCACAAATGAAAATAAATGAGAGTGTCACACCACCATCGAGAGGTGCTGGAATATCTGAAGAACGAATGACCGCTTATCGCAGTTCCTGTTCATGGTTACAGTGGGGACGATGGAGTGCTTGCTCTGAGACCTGTGGTACTGGGAAGACTGTACGAAAACGTTACTGTCCTTGCAGGTACAATTTCTTTCATAGTAACTCTCGAAATTTGAGAAGGGTAGTGCATGTATTAATATAAAGTATGATTTTTTCAGGTCCTGTAATTTTGGAGAATCTATAGAAATACAATCGTGTGAGTTAAAAAGTTGTTAATTTTCATTTTGAATGTGCAAAAATTTTGTCGAACCTGAAGTTACCATAAATTAGAAAATTCTATTCCAGCTGAATGGAATATTAAACACATAGTTCCATGATTTAATTTAACATTTTTTTGGAAATCAGTCCTCGAGATACTGAAAGATATTCAGAGATTATTTTTAAAATTTCAATGAATTTCCGTCGATTTAATTTCAGAATTATTTATGTAAAAGAAGTTAGGTTTCATAAAAATTTCAATGTAATTTAAAAAACTGATCTTTAAAAAATGGTCTATAATATCAATTTTCAGAAATTGTATTAAGATTTTGATTGTATTGTTTTTTATTACATTGATATATCTGTAATACTTTTGATCGATAAAAGCATTAATTTTTTGATTTATCCATTTTTATGAAAAGTTCTGCTATAAGGGATAAACTTTCGAACTTTTAATCTTGATTTTTTTCTTGCAGATTTTAGGTTTTAGTTATTTATATTTAGGTAAATCATTCGAATTTAAACTTTGAATTTATTTGAATGTCTGTATAAATTTGAAGATTTCACTTTCCTTCAATAATTGAAGATTTTATGAGAGAGATGGAACATTCATAAAATGGAATGAAAGGTTTTGAAATATGATGAGATTAGTGGACGATTAGTGGCCAGAGAGGAAAGGCACTTTACGGGTAGTAAGAATGGAACGAGCAGTACTAAACAGGCATAGCAAAGGAATTCGTTGCAATGGGACAGAACAAGGATCGATTGAGAAAACCGGATTTCCAATAATTGCACATTGTCAGCCACCCTTATCAATCTCGTTCCGCTTTGCTTGTAAATAAATCCGTAAGCACTGCATTCATTGTACAATGCGTTGTATTATTTGAAATGATTTAACAATGCTGGATTATTAACGTCTCAGCTCTTTTATCATTCACATTTAAATTGTTATCATATAATGCTTACTAATTACTTTTACTCTTACTGTATATACATTTAGAAATATTTAACCGAAAATGAAAGGAATCAATAACGATGATATTTCTGAGGAGATAACGAAGACAAAAAACTTCAATAATTAAATTATAAGAATGCCAATATTTTTAAATTATAAAGCAATTGTGCTAAAAGTGATAAGATGAAATGATAGAATATGATCATTTTTGGGGTCATGGATAAAGCTGCAAAAGTTTTTGTTGTTTGCAGTAAAAAAAAAAATAAAATTATGAAGTAAATGAAATAAATGTGAAAGTGGATGAAATGTACAGCGATATCCTTATACGTATCCATGACCTTACGTTAAAACATGTTAATAATATCCTTATCACGTATTCATGACCTTATGCTAAAACAGGTTCATAATATTCAATCCAATTTAATCTTTTTGATGGTTAGATTGGATTGTCGATTCAAACTGTGCGGTTGATCCATTATCAATTAGAATGACGAATTATTTTTTTCGATTGCTTGAGCTTCTGGAACGAATTTTCTCTGTGATCTGATATTACCCTATTATTGACAATATCACAATCAGTATTTCAAGTCCATTTTTATCAAAACTTTTATAAATAATTAACTAAAACAATGAGACAGAAAAGTTTAGTTATTGCTCTTATTAGTAATAAAAATGAATAAAAAATACAATACAATAATAATGTAAATAAAAAAAGCTAGCGGTATAAGTAAATGAATTAAATGATTATTATTTTGAACGATATCATCGGTTCATTCACATTCAAAAATGATAATTCAGCCTAAATACGTATTACTCTCTCTAATGATACATTATTTCCGCATACAAATATTCATTATCATTATCATTCAGATAATTATTACTCTTATTATCATGAAATTTATCAAAAAATATTTCTATAACATGAGAGTTAGTTAATATCTGCGCACATTACAGATGTGATGTAGGGAGAGAAAGGGAGAGAGAGAGAGAGAGAGAGAGAGAGAGAGAGAGAGAGAGAGAGAGAGAGAGAATGAATATATATCGAAAAACCAGTACTACTATTATATAATCCTCTTTTAAAGCTTATTTCGCTTCCTTTTTGACAATCAGAGTGCGCCTTGTGGAAACATTATCGAAGAACAAAAGTGGTGTGGTTGCGATAAAATTATTTTTAGACGATGATAGTCATGAAGAGACTTAATGATACGATTGAAATCAATCATAAATGTGTGGTACATTCCAATGATCACTTATTCATTCATCAACCAATACATTCATACTTAAATGATTCAAATCTGATATTTATAATTTTATGCAAATGTTACTTTTACATCGATAATTTGAGAGTAATCGGAGATGTTTCAATTTATATTTACTTATTTTGTTTGTATTTCACTGACAAGATTTGCAAATAAGCCCAGTACATGTTTTATTGCAAACAACAATTTAAATAGTAATTGGAATTTTAAAGTAATGAAACGATAGCTAAGATATGCAAATTCTCTGATGTATAGAAATGTATGCTTGCATAATTCATTAAATTTGTGTGGTTGCGGAACGATCTAGTGACAAAATTTAGTAATACTACAGCAAGCTGCTTTGTAATCACTTATCTTCTCTTATCATCTTTATCAACTCGATTGATATTACTTTCACTGATTAAAGGATAAGCAGTAGCCATGTTGTCCATTCTTCTGCACGATAATGCGCAATCTGATAATGAATATTTCCGAAGACATATTGGGAGTGGGGCTGACAGGGAAACTTTTGCTTTAAATTATTAATATTCGGTTGAAATTTTAATTCTAACTTATGCTGTTATCAGTGGTCTTTATTGAAATAATGATTTAAATTTACAAAAAGCAGAATGTTTTGGAAAATGCCAGTCGTATATATCAACTTTACTGAATTTATAAATATTCAGGAATGTTTCAGAAACTAATAAAATAAACTTTAGATACAGATAATACAGAAGAGAACTTTATTGCTAAAGCCAAAGAGAGTTTTTAATCAGGTTGTTTTAAAAGTAGCACCGTTATTCATAAATAAATGACCCATGAAATTTTCACTGCTAGAACTATCTTTCTACTTCTTGAATATACATAGTGCCGGTTCAGTTTTTTTTTCCTTTTTTTGGAAGCATATTGACAGAGAGTTTTAAAAAAGTGAAAAGTTATGAAAACATATTAAAGTCAAAGCAGTTTGCTAAAGGCATGAAATTACTATTAAATTAAAAATACAAATATGAAATTAGTATCAAATTAAAAACAGAGGCATGGAATTCTATGAGAACATTATTTTGTTAATTGAAAACAATTATCCTGTCTTCTACTTCCCATTAAAATATATTTAACAAGTTCAACTGTTTATTTCTAATTGATAGACGAAAACTTTCATTTAAGAGGTAAACATGTAAATCAATCCAGAAATACATTTCTTTTTTTTATTGCCAGAATTTCAAAAAGTTTTTGGAACTTTATTTACATATTTTTATTTCCTACCTTATTTTCTTTAGAGAAAAATATTTATGCATTAGTGGTACCGATACAACAAGATTACTACCACAACTACAACAATTACCACTACCACACTACAACTATTGTTGCCACTAACATTTCTTCCATACCATTATCGTTTGCCCGTTTTCAGCTGCCAGCCGCAGGGCATCCGGTTTTATGAGCAACGATAGCAACCGCACCGCGGCTACTATTACCAGCCCAATGTATTATCCCTTTCTCTCCGTTCCCGACATGAAGAGGTACTTTCCTACTCACTTATCCCACCTTCATCTCTTCCATCAATCTCCTTATCGGCAATTTTACTACTGCTCGTTGCAGTAGATTTCCAGACATTGCATTGCTTGATTAGATGTAACACGAACGTTACGCTGCACTGATCTTACAGTCAGCCCACTCCCATCCTTCCATCATTATTTTCATCCTTTCTTTACTTTCAAACAGTATCTTTCCCCTTTTTTTTCTCCTCATTGTTCATTATTCATTCATTTATTCATTCTCTTGTTTTCGTCATTGCTTCCACACAATGATAACATTTTGCTGATTAAACTCTGATATCACGCTCATTACGCGAGACGTTCAAAACAGCTATATTTTTACTTATGTGACATATTATATTTTGGTATTTCTAATTCACCTCAACATTTGTGAATAAATGAAAATGATAAATTACTCTCTATCAGTTTCAATGCTTTCTTTCCCTCTTTTTCTCATTTCCTCTTCAATATCATCATTCGCAAAAAAAAAATAATTTAGGGATAAAATTTACATCAATTTTGAGTGAAAAAAATAACAAAGCATCACAAAAAGTATTACTTAATGATTGAAGTAAGCCAAATCATTAACGCATACCTTATTAACTGTAGCAAAAGTAGTATGAGTGTAAATAAATTCATTGAAGGTATATACTGTGAAACTTTAATGAATCTATAGATTTCAATGGGAAATTGTATTTCGAAGAGTTTTACCTCAACAACTTTTCATTAACTTCAATTTACACAAAAAGTTTTTAAAATGAGAACTTTGTGAGATTTGCTTTAACAATCATCCTTCATTTAAAGGAAAAAAGAATTGTAAAGCAAAACAATTTATATTTGTCCTTTTTAGGGAGAGAGAAGAGAAAAGAAAGGGATGAAATTTTAGTGAAAAAAAAAATGGCATAATAAATAGTGCCATAATCAACAATAAGAGCTCCAAATCTTGTTTGATGATTATTTATCACGAGAGCATTTGAACCCGTTTTTTCAAAGATGAGAAAAATGAGATTTTTTTTCTTTCATTGTTCAAAGTTGCTGACTACTTCCCACTTCCCTTTTGACGGTGCTGAGTCGAGAAATCGCTTTCGTTTGGATTAAACCAAAACAAAATTCATCGAATATCATCATATAAGCTTGGTGCAGGTTGCATATCAATATTTAACCTTTCTAGGAAACGTAAACTTCGAAATTTGTAGATGCTATAAACATTTTATCACAGATTCCTTAATTCATAATTTTTCACAAGTTGTTTCAGTAAGTCTGAATTTCTAATTTCCAGTAATTAAATTTTGAATACTTTGAAAAATGTTTAAATTTCTTCACGCTTTATCAAGTGATATTACATCTTTATTAATATTTTATAATTATTTAGATATTATCCAGTAATGATAATCCATTATTATTTGTTTCGGTCTTACAGTTTAAAAAAAAACGCTTTTGATCATACTTAACCAATTCTCGATTATTAAACTTTAAAAATTCAAAATATCAAAATGAAAGACATTTATTCAAAACGAATTACATTTATTCCCTTACTGTGTAGTACAAAAATACAAAATTATTTTAATCAATGTTCAACAGTACGGATATTTACCTTCGTTTATAAAGTAGAAGTCGAAGATGATGGAAGGAACCTTTTCCAATCATCCATTTTCTCAACGATCATTTACTCTTCTTTTTATATTTACAAAGGAATATGTACATTAACAATTTTTCTTTCTAAATTCAAAAACTTAATTAAGTTTGCCGATTTTTTTCAAGTTTAATTTAAGAGTGGAAAGGGAAGATTTTTGCTTCATTAATTCTCGAATTAGTATTTCAAGATGGAAGAAAAATGGACGGTCATTTCTGATTAAAACTTAAACTTGTTAACTTATGCGGTAGAATGGGAATCTATTTTTTATGTCACGAAAGGATTTAATGTATACATGATAGAGAAATCGAATGATTTGGAAGGATTTCTAATCTGTAAAACATTTTCAAATGGAAAAGAAAGTTTGGGATATTATTATAAGAAATCGAGTAGTGATATTTCGAAATTAATTATACTGAATTTACATCCTTCCAGATCTTTCGATTTCCGTCAAAAGAGAAAAATTCTGTGAAACAAAGATGAGGAAAAGTTATGAATTACTCTGAATTTTTATTACATGATCGTTTTGACCCTTATTTGCTTGACCGTTATTATAAACAAGACGTTAAATTGAATGATTTTAAATTGAATGATGCAGAAGAATTAAATCGACAAAAATAATATAATAGAAGATATGAAATGAAGCCTTTATTAAAGATACGTAAAATCATTGAATTTGAATGAACCATAAAGGAATATGAACGTTTAAATTTAGAATGACCATAAAATTTAATGATCTTCAGTATTGTAATTTTTTTTTTAGATTTTGATTCATTCTTCCATGAAACATTAGACGAAATATGATTCATTATAGGAATAAGAAAATTAAAGTTACAAACCTTTTTTGTAAACGTAGAATTGATTAAAAGAGTTAATTTTCATTACTTCTAGATTTCTTTCCAATAATATTTTTAAATGCCTGATGCGATCTTTAATTCTGATGAAATTATCACTTTCATTTAGTTGAATTATACGCAAGTAATTATTCTAACTTAAAACCGAATTTTAATTTATTTTATTAATCAAATGAATTATTTATTGTTTTTAAAACTTATTTTAGGCTATGGTTTGATGGAATTCGCTTTACCAGAGAAACAGATCTTATTTTTTTAAACAAATAAGATAATAATTAACTCTCAAAGGTTTGCAAAAACTTGCCATCTGAATAAACGTCTAAGATCAGATTAATTAAGGTATGATTTTTTATTAGTTATTAATATACCAATTATAAACATATGGTCTTCTATTGAATATCAGTAGCTCAATTCAAATTTCCTAGAGTATCTGAATTTCCGTTCCACTTTTTCTACAATCCCTTTCGGTAAAAAAAAAAGAGTATTAAAAGGGAAAAATTAACTCAATTGCTTTTTCGAGATATCATTTTCTATAATAATTCATAAACATGATTTGTGAAGTTTTCATGTGAGTAATTATTCTTTGAAGAGAGCCTAAAGGGAATTTGCTTGAAAGGTTAAAAGTACTGTGAATATTCCTTGAAAAGCGGAATGAGCGTTTTTTTTTTAAAAACTCTTCTCCTATTATTACTGAATAATTTTTGTTGAATATTTATTTCAGCGTAGGCGGTTTATTTAGGATGCGTCAAAAGCTTCTTCAATGCTAACATCGCTTGGCGGATTGTTTCTGTCAAGTCATGCTAATTTTCCCGCTGAATTGATTATTTCGAAAGGAACGGATTGCATCTAATTATCACCAACAATAATAGCTATTTCCTTCATTGCTATTATTATTCATTTTCATCATTATTATCTTGGTCATCACAATTGCCCAATTATCAAGGATTCAATTATTGCAGCATTGTTATTCATTATCATTATCATCATTAACACCGCTAATATCATTATCAGTGTTATCAATACTAACATTATCACCTTCTAAACTTTATAAAAAGATCCTGGATTACAAAAACGCCAAAGGAGTGAGCAACGTTTTTGGCCTTTCTTCTTCTTTATTACGATTGAAGAAGCAAAATGATTTTACAGCTAATTGTTGTTTCATTGCAACTGCACGCCTTCACAAATTCACACTCTTTAGCAAGTAAGTTTTTTTAGTTAATTTTAAAAAATTTTATTTTCATGAAAAATGTGACACATGTCATAATTATTTAACTCATTTGTGTCAGATAACAATCATTACATTTTTAAAAAAACGAGAGAGAGAGACGAAATTTTTAAAATCATTTTTTATTTGCTTTGATAGTGAACAAACAGTTGCATTTTTAATGGCTGTCATCAAAGTTGTTCCTCTTGTTTTTTCAATTCCAAATGAATTCAGTGGATAGTTTTATTGTAAATAAATATTAGTTCATAGGTTACAAGTTTGTTCCAGATATCACCACGACCCTTGCAAATTTAAATTCGTATTTTTCAGCGGTACTTTCTGATTGAAGAGATGTTTCAACAATAGCATTTATTCGATATCTATGTAGAATTAATTATGAATGAGCAAAAAGCATATATAAAATTAATCACGTGCAAAAAATTTTCGGTCAATTTGTGACGGCAATCTTTGATCCAGATGGAGTAGAAAAATGACGTGAAGGGATGGATGGAGAACGGAGTAATAAATTAACAAAATTCTTGAAATAACATTGTTTCCAGATAGCTTCTTCACGAAACCAGACATACATGCGGGTTTTGTCACACGAATCAATCAGAGAGCTTTGGATTTGTTGGCTGATTATTTGAAAGAGCGCGTTAACAGATTTATGCATCACGGCGAAATTATTTTCAATTTTTCTGCACCACTTACAGACGAGGTCTTCCGTAAAATCTCTTGTCTTTAGTTCAATTAAAACACAAATTTTGCATAAGATTATTTGATTATTTCAATTTTTTCAATTATTCACTGAATTCTTTATTTAAAAAAATGAAAGCGTAAAGGATGATTAAAAAACTGAATCAATTTAAAAATTGCAATGTACTAAATTATTATATTTGATAGTTCACATGTCCACTTGTTATATTTATTAACTGAACACTGCATTACCTATAGATTGAGACACAATTTCTATAAGTTTTTTATGATTTTGTTCCTTTTAATTTGAAGGTATTAGAAAAAATTTAGGTGACATTTGGTCTCATATCGACGAAAGCTATCGGTTACGATTCGAAAATATTCAAATCACGGTTGTTTATTGTTCCCGGACAGGGCATCGTTTGGATGGTAATATTTTTATTGGAAGATTTTAATGCATCATTGGATGCTGTATTTCTCTTCCAAAATTGCTTTTGTAAATTATGTAATCAAATATATAAATATTTAACATGATATGAATTTTTATTAATTTCCTATAGGCTACATAAGCTAATCTACTATCAAAAATTGCAGAAATTAAAAACTTTACGTAAAATACGTAAATTTCTAAAATTAAGACAAAGAATTTTTCAGGGCTCCCATTTGAATCTCTCAATTGGTACATTTTTCAAATTTTCCAGTCCTGCTGGTGATTTTTATGGATCTGCTATACTTCAAATTAACAGGTGAAAAAAACATTCTGAGCTTCACTCATGAAACTTATGAATTCAACTTTTGAATAAAATTTATGAAAAATTTTTGGTTTTATAAATTGTTCCAGTTGTCTTTTTGCACTTATTTCTCATTCTCCTATTATTTTAAAACATGGAAAATTGGATAAGATATCGATTTTCTGTGCGGAAATTTTTTAATTGTTTGAATTTTGTTACAACAATTTTCGGAAACAATTTCCGAAAACAATAACAATTGACGACATCTTCAAACAGGATATTAAAATTTATTTTCCTTTTTTTGATTATTTCTTTAAATGAGAAAGATATTGTGAACTAAAGAGATCGAGGAGTTTTAACTATCGAAATTTTCACATTTGCTTCCGAAATTTGATCATTTTTAAACCAATTACTTTTTTTGACATAAAATAAATTGCTGTTAATTTTTTTCGTCTAAAAAGTATTATTATGCAAAAAGAAAGGATGGTTGAATAATAAAGGTCAAAAATAAGCTCAAAATGTCACATATGGAATTCAATTAAATTCCATACATATTATGATAGTTTTAAAAATGAAGATGAATTAGTTGCAGTGCAAAAGTGAAATCATTTTTTGTGGCGGCTATCAACCGTGATGGTCATCTTCGGACCGATATGCAAAAATGTACACTCTCACCAGGCAATGTTGTGATGAATTTCAGTGAGACAGATCCTTTACTTCTGGTCAATTATTATCCTCAAATTGATCGTTTCATCAGTGAAAGAATCGAGATAGTTAGCTCTATTTTTATTTTTATTTTCAAAATTTTTTCAAAAAATTTCAATTTTTCAAGTATCTTGGAATGCAGTGTTCAACCTTCTATATTTATATCTGAATGTTAATATGAAATTCTATTTTAAATGCTGTTTCAGATAGAGAAAATTGATATAAAATAATATTTTTGAAATATTTAAATAAGACAAGTTTCAGATAATATGTTCAAGTTTCAACACTGAACTTGTACCAATTATTTCAAATCGTCTGATGAACACTCCCATGAGTGCAGCATTATTTGATGAATATTTCCTGAATTACGATCTCATTGATCAAATACAATATTTGCCCAATGCAATTGAACTGAAGCATCGAGGCAATGCATTCAGTATAGTAAAACAAGGTAAGTTAAAGCAATCAGTAACGATTAGAATTAAGTTTTGACTTGCATTAAAATTTGAACTTATTAGAATACTTAAAATTGGAATATTGCAAAATTTATACAGTGTTCAGATTTCAGTAATTCTATTCAGGTCTTAATAGGCTCAACGATTTTCGATTACCCTTCCCATCAGCACCAATAACGGTGGATGTTCGGGGAAGTGGTGCAATGCTTGAATTCACAATGTCCAATTATACACTGGCCAGCTTACTCTACTGGATGGATCAATATCAAAGTTTTGATTATGAAATAAGTAAAAAAAGCATCAACAGTACAGTATTGGAAGGTTACTTAAGGACTGAATGTGGTATCGAGGATGTTTGTGCCGGCACTCTATTTCCCGGTACTTTTGTGATTTCTATTGATCAGAGATTTTTTTGGAATATGTTCAAATCAAAGTTAATAACTGTTGCCGAAACCAATATTTCTGAGATAAAACTTTTCTCATGTTAGGTTCTTCGTACTGTAGTTAGTATTTCAGTTATAAATAGCTTTATCCGGAAACAACTGAAATTCAAAATTCTATGCTCTATTAGTTCATTTTTCATAGTCAACTTGAAATTATATATTTTCAACAAGTATATATCTGGATTTCAGCTTTGGGTACTCAATATCCGGGTGGTATGGTGCAAATTAAATCGCATACAACCACTTATCCGAGAGTTCGCTTTGAGCAGAATAAAGGGATAATTGTAATCTGGAGTCAAGTGGATGCATTCGTACAAGTAAGTTTCTAAAATTACTGCTTATTACGATGTTAACTATTCTCTTATTGTAACTGTTCATAAATTCTTGTTTAATCAACTTTAGCAAATTTTAATAATTTTCTGATTCTTAGCCTTAAGGAAGAGAGAGAGAGAGAGAGAGAGAGAGAGAAATCATTAAAGAATAATTATTTACATTCATAAGATTGAGAAAAATGCTTTAAAATTCACGGGGCATGAGTTTATTGGCTTTCGAATTGCAGCAAGGTGAACATACGCGTCGATTTTTAACATCTGGTATGATGGCCGAATTGAAACTGGAAAAAAGCATTTTCCAAAACTATTCTTTCATATCGGAGATGCGTATCGATAAATTTAAAATTTTCGATGTCATAAGTTTGATCGATGGTATTGACGAGACTAGCCTGGAATTTCTCGTCAGCGCTCTTAATGAATTGCTGATTGCTGATGATGTAGCAAAGAAACTTAGTGACGGTAAAATTGATGACGATTTTTTCGAATTGATCACACATTTGCTAAAATATGTGGATTTTTGAAATGAAGAATTTATTTTATGCAATATCTCTCAGAAAGTTTTTTTATGGCAAAAATTTTGGAATGTGTCATTTTTGAAGAATTATTTACATATATATTTCAAATATTTCTATTCGTTTTCAGGCATAAAAATGCCGATTCTATTTGATTTTGTTCAAAAATCGGCAGATGTTATATTTGAAAAGGATCAAATGAGAATAGCGATCGATTTTTGTTTCGATCAGAATTGTTCTAAGAATCTGATTGAAGAAAGCAATGATTTCGACTATTACGACAGTCTCAACTCAACAGCAATATTATTGCAATAGGTTTAAAAATAAAATGATCATGAAGCTAACGGTTTGATTTGTCCACTTATTCTGAAATGTTATCCGGAATTTAATTTTTAATAGCCTTAAACTGGACACGTGTTATCATTGTTTCTCTATAAAAACTATAATTTTAATTTGTTTAATGCTTGAATTTAACTTACGGTAGATGGACCAATTGAGAAAATATTTCAAATCAATCAATCAGCAAATAATCAGTTAAGCTAAGCATAACACTTGGAATTTCCGAAAAGCGTTAATAATTTTAAAAGTTACTAAAAATTAAATATGCTACAACATTTTTGCCAGGAATTATCAACATAATATAAAACCATCTATTGCAGTATAAAACCCAGTTCTTTTTCTTTTTTTTTTTCTAAAAACGACTCATTAATTTTTAATCATAGTTTCAAAGAATTTCACTAAATAAAGTTGAATCAATTAATTTGTAAAATTTTGTTTAAAATGATAAGTATATGAAAATATTCGCATTCTCTTTATGATCGATGATTCAATGATGAAAATACATGTATGCCAATAAACCGGTATTCTTTTCATGAAATTGAACATTTATGAAGCAAAGCTTAAAAAAACTTTTTTTCTCTTTCTTCATTTTGCAAATAGATAATAAAAATTAAGAGAGATGCCGCTGAATTTTGAATTTTAAAACTGTGTATTTGTAATATTTACATTTATTCTAAATTTTAGTCAGACATGTTTTAATAATGACTCTAATTTGATAAAGAAAACTCTACACAAATGCAAAATATCCTTTATTTTAATCATTACTTATTATCCGCGGTCTCCTTTTTTTTTTCCTTTCAAAGCATATTTGTACAAAACTCAGAATATAGCAAACAGTCTAGTCCATTCATTATTCAATTTATTCACTGCAATTTTTCATTGTTCCACTTGTTTCATTATTTTTTGGAACATATCAAAATCTTTGAAAAGTTTCTACATAATTTAACATGATGCATTATGAAGCTTATTTCTATAATTTTCACTACTCATTCTCTCTCCCTCCCTCTCTCTCTCTCTCTCTGTCTCTTCTCTCTATGCGTGTACGAAACAGTGACTTATTATTTGCACATGATCTACCAGACCGATATCCTCTTAAGAATTGCAAAATTGAAGTTCACGGTTACTTAACCGGCGTTCATGCTTCTGGAATATTTGCATATCTGGCAATTTTTCTTCTTATGTATGAAAAGGAATAGTTGTAAGTGTGAGGTTATGTTGAGATATGACAGATTGTTAAACTTTTAAATTTACCATATTTTAGGCAAATTCACTACCCATAATTGATACTCTTTTTACATTTATAAAAGGATAGTTCATGTTAATTTGAATAAAATATTAAATTTGAATGAGGAAGGAAAAAGAAATAATTAACGCGGTAAATCGTTTCTTTCACAAAATTACTGTTTTGCATTTTATTTACAATTTGATTGATTTTGCATTTCAGATTCAGTTTTTAATCGTCGGAACATGTAGATCTAAAGTAACTCATGACCTAATCTGACCTGAAATCAATGTAAGAAATTGGTTCGAGCTATAAATGCAGGAAGAAGTATTATATATTTTACTGTAGAAAGGAGTTGTATGTATCAATTATTTAAGTGTTACAATCAATTGTTTTTCTTTTGCTTAACTAATATCCCTTCTAATTATTTCTTATTCTTATGTTTCTGTAAATTCGTGGAAGCTTTCCGATTGTAATGCAATGTTGGAAATTTATGGCGATCCTTTCTATCGTATATCTTTTGTAAATCATAAAAAAGTTCACTGTGAATGATAGCATTCGATGAACAGGACAGTTATCTAAAAACTCTGAATGTATCTTTCATTTCACAAGAATTCATTTCATTAAGCTCACATTTAGTTGGTTGGATAATCAGCTAAACCAGGAAATAATTTTGATGGAAAAAATTTTTTAAATGAAATTTAGAAATGAATAGAATTTAGCAGTTTATTAGTTATGAAAAACAGCACTAAAATGTTGGAAAAAAAAGATATTTCATTTCGGTAAGGATTAGACAAATTATCTATTTGAATTTAAGAGTTGTGCTATAACGAACATTAAAGGCTGTTAAAAGTTGAAGAAGAAAATATGATTAGAAATTAAGAAAGATAATCAATACGATGATTAATTAATGAAATGAGAGTTCTTCTCGAATATTTTTACAGTGCCTTATACTGCACCAGCAAATAATTTATATTAGGTAAAAGATAATTTGGACCAGATATTTCAATATCCACATGAGCCACAAAATTATATCGAAAAGCAAACTATCTTTTCAGTAGCTCTCTCTCTCTCTCTCTCTCTCTTCCTGCTCGATATTCATCTGTATTTGCACTGTAATAGCAAGACCTGATATTTGCTTGCTTTTCTGCACCATTTCATCTGCATCATTTAACAGAAGAGAATTTATATAACATTTCTTAATTTGCCACGATGCTTCCAGAAACTTCTGAAATAACTCAAATAGCTTAAAATCTGAAGAGTAAGCTAGACTAGGTCTGTCTAATAAATATTTATTTCCAGTTAAAGTTACTGAACAAAGGAAGTGTATTTTCAACGCTTTGCTTCTAGCTGACAATCATTTAATGACAGTCTCAATGATCGATGCTTGAAATGTCACGTCTATTCATCGAGTCACTTCTAATAGTTTATCGTTGCAATGATAAACAATTATTTAATTTGCTTCTGTTATTCCATCCTTAAACTATACTATCATCATCATTATTGTATGGAAAAAACTAAATTGCCTTCTCTTGCGGTCACAGTTCAGTATCTTACTTTTTATAAAATCATTCCGCAAAATATTTCGAGATTGAAGCAATGGCTCACAATTATTAGCAGCATTTTTTCGTATTTCTCATTATTTTACACATTCAGGTAATAATCGCAAGAAAGCAGCACGTAATTGCAAATTTAAAGCTGCATAAAGTAATGGATTCCATACCTGTAAAATTAAAATAATTTTTTTAACTTGTAAGAGTAAGCGGTTTAAAATTTTAACAATTTTAAGAGCGAAAATGTCACAAAAATTCTAAAATATCACTAAATTTTAAAAAATCCAAATGATAATTTAAATAATACAATTTCATTCAGTATTTCATTTAACAATGTTTTTTGCATACTAACAGTTGAAGACATTGCAATACAATGTGTTGCAATTCCAAAAAAGTATTCTTGAGCTTGGCACCATTCCGGTAAACAATCGTAATCTCTAAGAACATTAAACAGTACACTGAAGAACCAGCTTGCAGAAAATGCTACAACCATTCCAATCAGCATACGATTCGTTCGTTGTCTACGTTTTAGGGCCGCTCGTTGCTAAAAATATATATAATATTACTCAAAAATCTTTGGTTAAAGTTTTTTACTGCATGACTTCTATCTTATTTTCTTTTGCTTCTCAAGCCTTAAAGGGAAGCATTCCATTTAAGGCTTAATAAGCAAGAGAAAATAAGATAGAGGCCATGTCTTCCTTTTCAAAAATCCCAATCTATCACCGTATTTCCATTCGTCTTCAAATAATGCTGCTGCTATTTCTTTTTTTGAAAAAACGATTATAATATGAAATTGATACTAATTAACTTATAATTTCAATAAATTTACACTTAAAAATACTCTCAATTAGGAAAAAAAGTTTAATTTTTATGATTTGGAAGCGCCTAATAATCATTCCTTTATCAGAAACAATTATTCATCTCTATATCATGCCTAATCATTCTGTTACCGTTCAATCAGAAGATAGTACTGAAATTTCATCTATAAATAATGTAAACAAGAGGAGCTTTTTAAAGAAAAAGTGGATTTTTTTTTATCAAAATTTCTTCCTGAAATATACCTTTTTGAAAAGCAAATGAAAAATAAACAAGCCTGATCGGTCATTTCTAATTGCCATTCACTATTTTGTTGTCGATTTCTATGCAATATACCCTATAATATTTTAATCATTTTACATTTTATACCTCATTCGTAAACTGCAGTTTTTGAAAATAAATTATAATGTATGCTTTAAATTATTCTTATGAAATTATCAAATGTATCTATTTCTATGCAAATATATAAACTGCATGCTATTTGAATGCTTCTTGCAATAATCTCTTGTTGTAAGCAATAAGCAATGGTGGACAATAATATCATTGATATGGAAATGTAATTTGAATAAAGAACTGTAAAACATGAACAACACTTAATGTTATACTATGGCATTCTATCATTTCACGTGAAATATACGCAGATATACGTCATTCTATTGAAATTGTGAGCGGGCCAACATAATCGATTAATCGAAAAGCATTACCTTGCCTAGTCTGAAGGAAATAGCAGTGTAACAAAAAGTGATTATTGTCAAAGGTACAATGAATTGTACACTGAGCATTATGGACCCATAAATTCGTCTACCGCTCTGGTCAATACCCCATTCTTCTGTGCAAAATTGACCACAGTAATTACCGAATCTTTTCAGCCTTTGTTTGAATATTACTGGTGCTGATAATGAAGTAGATAATATGCATATTACCTGCATTAATTTTAATATCTGCTAAAATATTATTTAAAATTCATTTGAGTAAAACATGCAAATGTAAAATATTTTTTTCTTTTACAATATACTTACTTTTTTTAATATGAAAATTTCTGAAAAGTTTCAAATTTAAGAAGAAGTTCAGACAAATAAAAAAAAATCTGTAATTGAGAATTTCAATATGAGCATGGAAATAATGAAATTTATGTAATCATTTTTATTGTTATATTATTAATTGCATGCAAAAAAGTAGCAAATGTTTCATTTAAAAAATTATTATTTGTTTACTATGTCATTCTAAAATAATGATAATAATGAATTTAGCATTTACTAAGTTAAAATGTCAATTTGATGAGAATGCTTGATTTGTTGATGTGTTAACATCTATTGATTGTTTAATGGAGCAAATAATTTCACGACTTCTCTCTAATAATCTTTTTTTCTTTTCAAAATATTTTGCTAACAAGCTATAAACTGGCAATTCAATTTACTTAAAAATTGAAAAATAAGGAAAATTTATAGCATCTCACTCACCATAATTGCAACTAATGCTTGAAGCCTGGATAAAGCTTTTCTAGTTGGAAAGCAGATGAGCAAAAAACGATCCACTGAGATTGCTGAGAGGGTAAACGTGGAAAAGCACAGTGAAGCACCCTAAAAACTCATCATTTTCCATTTCAAAATAGCTTTTCCAAATTTCAAATAAATTATAAGGCATATTTTTACTAAAATTTTGTGGAACCAATCAAAAAAAAAAGAAAAGAAAAAGGATATCCATTCTCTCTTAAATATTCAGAGTCGATGTTTTAAAATTACCTCCTGTTAGTAAAATGTAAATAAGAAAAAATATCTCCGAATGTTACATATGGGAAAATTCTCAGAAAAAATAAAAATATATATAAATGTCGTTGTAGCGAAAAGAATTGAAGTTTTTTTTTTCCTTTCTCAAATTTAATTCTTTCCTCCGAGATCAATTTTATTTCACTTTTAAAGTTTTCCATATACTAAGAAAACTATCACTTTCTTTTTTTTTTTTGATACTGTGTTATGCTAAGAAATGTTCATCATCATTTCTTATCTTTTTTTTCTCAATTCTGACAGTAATTTAAATGCGGAATTATTTCGACAAAATAAGATAAATAAACTATGAAGAGAAGAATCGAAATTTGCATACAAAAAAATGAAATACTAACAGCAATAAAAGGTGCTATCGAGCATAGCACAGCACCAAAAATCCATTCCTTTTTGAATGCTGCGATTGGCGTTATTGTCGCAGAAGTAAAGCACACAACGAGATCTGAACAACTCAACGAAAAAATGAACATATTGGGTACTGTTTGCAGCGTTCTGAAAGGTTATATAAAATTTTAATTGCTAATAAAATGTGTCATTTATCATTATTGGATCAGTAGATGTGGAAAATTTTTTCACCGAACTATTAACTCTTGCAAACTTACCTTTCTCTTCACAATAATTACTGGCATTGCTTTGTTATTATAATTATAATTAATCTTTACTATTTTATTGTATTATAATGGCAAACTATATGTTGTGAAAAGTGAAATTATTCGAGAATAATTTTTCCATCGAACTTGTAGAATATCAATGTATCCATTAAGATCTGAGGTTTCTAACTACCATAATTTGAATTTTAGATCAATTCACATATTAAAGCATTCTCTGCCAGAATTTCATATTATGCGATACTTTTTTGCGCTTGACACTATCTTTTTGTTAGGATCAAACATTTCACATTTGTAGTGGTGCTGATAGTTTATATGAAAATTTTCAAATCGACATATTATTATTATTGAGGGACAGTTATGGGAAGATGAAGTGATACCTGGTCCGAGATATGGCTAATATGACGCATAAATTGCCCACAGTACCAATGAGGATAATTATTGTATAGAAGAAGACGAAGACAAATATGGTAAATGACTGAGTGCTCCAATCACGCTTATTCCGCCATAATTCCGCATTCATATCCAAGCAGGTGTTATCGTTCATATTGCGCAAAACTGAACTGTCACCTAAATGCTAAAGTTGAAAATCTTATTTTAAAATATATCGTATAGTAACTTACTTCAGAAACGGGCGTTTTATCAAATAAATATATTATTCCTCATCAAAAATTTAAATCTAATATTTAAAATTTAAAAATTAAATCGATTGACTACTTTTGAGCAATTTCTGCAATAGTATGCTCATAAATTTTACTATGTATTGTCGAGTGAACTGGGGCATAAATTTGAATTCTTCGATCAAAGATATAACAAATTTCCATTTAAAGTGGTATTTTAATTTCCCTAAAATTCATTCGATAATCTTTTTTTTAATATGTATGTATTCAAGATTTGATTTTAAATGAAGAATTTCAATTTTATTTTAAATAGATCATCATTTTCCATTTATAGAATACAACGATTGGTAAGAAAAAAGAACAGAGAAAATTGCTATTGATGTGTGATAGCATTTTGTGGAAAGAGCGATAGTTATTTGCTGTTTATGTGAAACAATGAATTAATTTGTTTTTGGTTAAAATTAATCACTCAAAATAATAATTCGATCAGTTGAGAGTTTCTTTTAAGAAGTAACGTATTTTACAGCTAACGTGCTTTATTTTGGGATGATTCTCATAATCCTGATGAGAAATCAGTTAAAATTAAGATTGAATTGTTTTCTATCAAAAGAATATTCTGATTGTAACACATTCAAATGTCAACTACAGAAATTTGTATACGTTGTAGATTAGTACTATTTTATAAAAAAATTCACTTTAAATCAAAACTGTACGATTTCTAGTATTGATCGAGTGCTTATGCAAGCCATAACACAACAATAATCTAACATCTATCATACCACGTACTACTGCTGTTTTGGTGTATAGCAATTAGATTGTCTGCACAAGAAATCTCGATTATCAAAATTGATAGTCAAGAATAAATCATAAAATAAACTAAGGAAGAGAGAGTTTTCGAGAATTCATAGCTCCAATCATACATATTGACAAATAGCATCATTCATTTTTGTCCTATTTGATTGGCGAAGTTTTATCATTCACAACTGATAAGCTTTGTCAAATTTTCAAAATTTAATTTTTTTTTTTGTAAAATATATATACAATACTTATGATATTTCTTTTTTTGTAATCAAAATATATTGTTGCAATGCACTCGTAACGATCGATAAAATGATAAAAAATCATGACTGTACAAAACATGAATTATATAGTAAAATTAGCTGTTATCTTATATTATAAGACTATGTGGTAGAAGAAGAAAATACCAATGAGTGATAATTGTAGGCAGCTCATTCAACTCTGATTATTACAAATGTATCAGTTTGTTATCACAGCAATGATTACATTAAGGAAATTTTTTCACCGAATGGAAAATTTTCTTTTTCCAAATAAAAGTTTAAATGAAATTATGCACTTATTACTATTTCTTTAAATAAAATTCATCACAGAAAAGAGAAAGCATAAAGGATACAAAACGTATTGAAAAGAAGAGATGATTAGTAGCACTTTTGACATATTTGAACTTAGATATTTCATTCCACCTTCACTTTAATTCGTCCTTTCTTATTCTCATCAATTCCTCACTCTCCCTTCTTTAAGATATTTAAAACAAAAAATAAAAAAAAAAACAGACCATGGAGAGAATATTTCATAAAATATAGTTCAAATATTCTGCAAAAATTAGCCATCCCTATAAAAATTAATGCAAATTTTGATGCCGCAATAATTAGGACTCACTAAACACTTCCTGAAGCACTTAACATTTACTCTATATCCAGAAGCTGTACTAAGAACGACTTTTAGCAATTTGTTGTCTGTCGTATAGGTGAAAGTAACAGATGATTGCGATTGATAATTGATAGCAGATTATTTTTATTGAAATTATACAAACAGTATGTAAACAGTTGGGATTCTCGAGGTCAATTTTGTTCATTCTTATGTTTATTTCAAAATATTTTTTCCGCAGAACGAAGTAATCATCAGAAAGAAACTAATAAAGCCATATTGCTTTTGCATGTTTCTCTATAATTTAATATTTTTAGCAGTAATATTTAGTGATTAATGACACATTTCGGTAAATAAAGTATTCTTCTTTTTTCTAATAACTTTTAAAAATTTTTTAAATTTTACAGCACTCAATTGATTTTAATATACATATGCTGAATAAATGAAAGTGATGAAATGTGATGAAGAAAGAAGTCCTTTTGATATGAAAATCGATTTAGGATTATCGACTGCATTTCAGTTTTCTTTAAAAACATTTTAGTTTTATTTATTGGAGAGGGTTAAAATAGTTTATAACTTTGTTTCACAGTTTTTGCAGTTATTTTTGAGAGGATATTATTTAGTATTTCATCAGCGCAATATGTTACATTGGAATATTGTCGAGAATTGTGCAAAAATTGTAATAAAACTGGAAAGTATGAAGAGGATAAAATTCTTAAAGACAACTAAAAGAAAAAGCAATGAAACTTTCCGAGATAAGATTTTTTTGAACAAACACTAACTTTGTTGTAACAAACAGTAGAGTGAGTCTTAACTCGAATTAACTAAATAAAAGTTTTATTGTATTATAGTAAAAACGGAAACAAATGTTATTTAAAAATCAATTTCAATATAAGTTTGTTTGCATTACAATTTAAGCTTTTTTGAAAATTGAACAGAAAAAAGGAATTTAATAGAATTTGCTTTTTTCGCACAGTTTATGAAAATTTCTAGCTACTAATGAAAGTTAACCAACTGACACTCATCATCTAATGATTCGATTTGATAAACACTTCACGTTTCGTCTTTTGTTTCAATTAAGTAACTTATTTCAATTCTCAGAAATAAACATTTATGAAATCATAAAATGTTCTGTTCTGTTATTAATTTCGAGATGTCAAAAAAATTTTAATAAAAATCGATAAACCATATGTTTCGTTTTTCATTTGCTCCCGAAGAACAAAAAAAATTAAAATAAGTTGATATAATTAAAAATAAGAAATTTTAAATCTTTGTAATTTTTTAAAGGAATCTTTTATTATTACATAAGCTGAAACATTTATTTTGAAATCCATATTTTAAAGTTAACTTTGAAAAAAAAGAAAAGCACTTGGCAAATGCAGCATGGACAAGCAAGAAGATACAAGCCTTATAATTCATTTTGTTGTTATTTATTGAGTTGTGCCAATAAATTCATCACATGCAAAGAAGAGAGTAATTAAAATTTAATAATCCTATACAATATATATTATTTCGGGCCTTTTAATTTTCCTTATGATTGCCTTATAATTCCAAAAAAAAATTTTATCTCCGTTTTGTTCTTTTTTATAGCAATGTCAAATGAAATGGTTTTAAAATCATTTTCAACTGAATGTACAAAGTTCAGAGAATGTTAACGAGTGATGAACTAATATAAAACAACTACGGGAAAGTTATCATGAGTATGCCCCATTAATTTAATGAAAAATAACTCCTGAACATAACATTTTAAACCAACGTAGCAACCGGAAATGCAAACAATGTAAAAAAGTTTTAACCCACAAATAGTGTATTTTCATGAAAGGATTGAAAAAGGAAAGAAGTGGTCAACTAACTGACAATGATGACTTTTTCTTAAGCAATGAGCAGGTCAATGCAAAATTCTATTACAGGAAGAAAGTGATAAGTGATCTATTCTTTTTCGATAAAAAAATTAAAATAAGATGGTACAATTAAAAGTAAGAACTTTCAAATTTTTGTAATTTTTTAAATTTATAATGCCAATGTTGCAATCAAAGAATAAAAGTTTTGTTTGATCATAAATTATTTGAAAATTTATTTAAGGCATGCTTTGACTATGGCTTACATGTTCGTGACAGGTATTTTAATGTTTTTTTGTATCTTTTTGAAGTGATGGGTAGTGCACTTATGAAAAGTTTATGTATATTTTAAAGAAGTAAAACAAGATCAAAAGATGTATATTTAAGAAATAATCATAGTGCAGTTGCAACAATAATATTTTCTTTTTTTAGGCATCAAAGATAATTGGGACCGGTGTATTGAGGTATGGAACAATTTAGTATATTATCTAACATCCTTGATACAAACATTTCCGGACTAACTAACCGATGGAGCTGGAAAATATCGTTTATAATGTTAAAATGTTTTGAAAGAATTTATCCAACTATTTTCATCCTATGACAAGGATGTATGACGAAGTAATGACGTGGTCATATGGCCAAGGAAATTCAAATCTTTGACGAGGAAATTGTGCATTCATTGGCACTACCCACAGGATAGCACTTATTTCAAATCTATCTGTTGATTAGACGAAGAGAGTAATTTGTTTTGGCATTTCTATTGATGGAATTATACAAACTTGATCATTCTTTCTTTTCCATTTGTAATACGATCAAAATTTATTTAACTTAACTAAATGTAAGTCTAAAAATATGTTAAAATAATGAGGCTTCTTCCATTCCAAAATTTTCAATTAAACCTTTAAAGAACCACTTTTATGATAGATAAAAATGCCAGTATGAATAAAAAAAGTTTAATTCAGTATTTAAATTAGCAAAAAGTGATTTGGAGCAGTACATATTAGAACCAACATTTGCATCAAATTATAAATTGTTACAAATTATAATATAAATTTTTGGAGTAAGAATAAGCTCGCAAGAAAAATATTTTTTAAAAAATATGTGCTTGACATACATATGTTATTAATTTGAGAGTTTTTATATTGATTTCCATGAGATGATAATATGTAATGATACTCCTAATCAAAAGATAAAGTAATAACTTTCAATTTCTGGACTTACGAATTTTTAGATGTAAAATTCTTATCTTTCAATAGATGTCAGTTTTCCTTTTTCAGAGAGGTATAAAAGTAAATGAAAATTTTCAACGATTTTAATATGAAAATTGAAAGGAAATCAATAATCCGTAATATTTTTTATAGATGATCAAAATTTTAGACTTATTTTTAATAAAAATTTTCAGTCTTTATTTGTGACCTGAATAG